ATTGTACTTTGTTTCACACCTTTGATAAATAATATAGTGATGCTTATTTTGTTGTTGTTGTTAATTGCAAATAATAACTTTATTGCTAATTATGAAATGTTAAGTTTAGTGTACTGTTTTCTTTGTATATCAGAATACTTCAAGGGACTTTACAGTCCAGGGAGTAGGCAGTGTTGTAGGCTGGTATGTAGTACCTTAACCAAGTATGTACCCGCTAACAATACAATAAGGTCGTGAAGTACTCTTTTTTTATTTATGAAAGTCGTTTTTTTTTGTTTTGTTTTTTTTTGGCAGTTGATCATGAATCATATCAGTTCCCGTGAAAACAACTGCTTTTTATAATTTTCTCACGATTACGTGCCTCCTGACTGATGACTCGTGTATCGAATGTTACTTTGAAAGGGAACATTTTTTTCACACTTGGGGGCGCGGTAGCTTTGAAAACTTTTAGTTTCAATAAACATTCCACGGTATCTGTACCGGTCTCCTCGTGTTCTTGTATTTAGTGTTCTTATAAATTCTGTTGGATTTAATTTTATGCGTAATCACCCAGTGGCTCGGTTGTGAGTACGAATACTTCTAATGCTATAAACCGAGTTTCGGTACCCGTGGTGGGCACAGCACAGGCAGCCCATTGTGTAGCGTTGTGCTTATCGACAAATAAAAACAAAATTTTTATGCGATTTTTCTAGTGATTTTATTAACGGATGAAGGAGGCCACACCGAGAAAGATAGCATTTTGCTAAGTTCTAACAATTGGACAAGGCCGTCATCACGTGATTTACGCAAACGCAAGCTGAGGGAACACCGACATTCAGAAGTATCTTACAAGACGAAGCCCAGAAGATGCAACAAGTGATTACGGTAATTTAACATACAAATTAAAGTCATCAATCAAAAAGTGTACACATAGAACATAACTACTCAAAACACGTCATGAATACCATTAGTCAATTAGGATGCGTGTCAACCTGACTAAGAATAAATGTGAGACGTGTCAACCTGACTAAGACTAAATGTGAGACGTGTCAACCTGACTAAGACTAAATGTGGTACGTGTCAACCTGACTAAGACTAAATGTGGTACGTGTCAACCTGACTAAGAATAAATGTGAGACGTGTCAACCTGACTAAGACTAAATGTGGTACGTGTCAACCTGACTAAGAATAAATGTGAGACGTGTCAACCTGACTAAGACTAAATGTGGTACGTGTCAACTTGACTAAGAATAAATGTGAGACGTGTCAACCTGACTGAGACTAAATATGGTTTGTGTCAACTTGATTAAGAATAAATGTGGTACGTGTTTACCTGGTTAAAAGAACGAACGTGTTACATTTCAACGTGGCTAAGTAATTATGTGAATTAAATGCTCAAAACAGCTGATAAAAAGTAATTGAAAATCTTTAAAAGCAAATGCTTCTTGTTTCCCTAGATGGCACCACTGTAGCCACAGTGCTTCCACAGACTTTTTTTTTTTTAAAGACAAACTGATTTCACGTTGTTTTCTTTTGATAATGTTTGTCAACCGATAAACCAATAAAATTAATCAAAGGCTCAAATCTTTCAATTTCGTGTAGAGTTATATACGCCTCGTACCTCTTTATTTCGTTTCTCCAGCGACTGCTACTATTATGAGTCTCAGTGACTGTTAAAGACAAGCGTTATCTTTGTGTTATATACAGTCTCTACACAACGCTGTTTATATTATTCGCTACAGCACTATAGTCGCCTTCGATTATTTAGTTGTTGTTGTTTTCTTTGTACAAAGCTACACTCTGTCCACTCTAACCCCGGATTTTATCGTTGCAAGCCCGTAAACTTACCTCTTACTCACCGGGAGACTCGATTACTCACTTGTTGTTGTTGTTTGTAATTAAGCACAAAGCTACACAATGGACTATATGTGCTCTGCCCACCACGGGTATCGAAACCTGGATTCTAGCGTTGTAAGTCCGCAGGCATATCGCTGTGCTACTGGGGGGGGGGCTTATTTTGAGGAATGTGAAACGCCCGGTCATGGGCTATGTTCGTAGGAAATTACTAATATAATTATATACAAATTACGAAGTCGAAATTTCCACGTTTTTGTTGTTGTTGTCCCTCATAGCCATGTGACCTTTTTACATAGTTGTTACAACTGATGCACGAACTCTGAAATGTATGCCATCAACAGTTCGTGCCAACTTTGCCTCACCTTCAAGACGTTGTTGAAATGGCGTCACTGTCCTCACCTTCAAGATGTTGTTCAAATGGCGTTACTGTCCTCACCTTCAAGACGTTGTTGAAATGGCGTCACTGTACTCATCTTCAAGACGTTGTTGAAATGGCGTCACTGTCCTCACCTTCAAGATGTTGAAATGGCGTCACTGTCCTCATCTTCAAGACATTGTTGAAATGGCGCCACTGTCCTCACCTTCAAGATGTTGAAATGGCGTCACTGTCCTCACCTTCAAGACGTTGTTGAAATGGCATCACTG